AAAATAAAGCATGTGAAGCACAAAAACTTGCAGATCAGCACAAGATGCACGAATTTTTCATTTCCACTAAAACATTTTATGGGCCAGTCACTCGTGGCTGGCACATAATTAAAGACGACGAAGGCCTCCTTCAGCGCTGGAAAGAGCACTACCATTCATTGCTCAACCGAAACACCGATGTGGATGTCCTGACTACCCAGCAGGTCCCTCGGCAACTAGAACTGACCCACCTTAGCTATCCTCCATCCCTGGATGAGGTAGCTACTGCCATCAAACAGATGAAAAATAACAAATGCTCAAGGCCTGACGGAATCCCAGCCGAGGTGTATAAAGCATGAGGACTTCTGCTTACCAGCCGTCTCCACTCTCTCCTGGAGAATATATGGAAAAAGGAGGAAATCCCCCAAGTTCTTAAAGGTCAATATTTATCAGAACAATGGGGAACGGTCAGATTGTGGCAACTACCACGGGATCTAGCTGCTCTCCGTAGCTGGCAAGATTATCGCCCGAGTCCTCCTAAACAGACTTCGTCCTGAGGCGGAAAACTTCCTCCCAGAATCTCAATGTGGTTTCAGACCATCACGTGGCACCACTGACATGATCTTTGCTGCCCGCCAGATACAGGAAAAGTGCAGAGAACAGCGTCATGACCTGTACATGGCTTTCATTGATCTAACCAAGGGCTTCAACTCGGTCAACAGGGAAGCCCTCTGGTGGACCCTCAGCCGTTTTGGCTGCCCACCAAAATTCATCGCCATTGTGAGGCAACTCCACTACGTCATGAATGGCAGTGTCCTGCACAACGGCACCCAGTCAGAGTTCTTCCCCATCCAAATAGGGGTTAAACAAGGGTGTGTACTGGAACTAACTCTCTTTTCTATCTTCTTGCTTGCCTTCCTTACTCATGCCAGTGCCAATTTAGCCAGCAGGGTGAACATCGAGTACCGGGTGAAGGGGGGTCTTTTCAATATAAGACGACTCCAGGAAAGAACAAAGGTGCCGGCAAATTCCATTAGTAAACTTCAGTATGCAGACGACCTTACCCGTGTTGCTCACACTGAACACGACCTACAGGAGATCCTGAACACCTTTGCAGACGCGTATGCACACTTCGGCCTTGAGGTGAATGTACGTAAGACTCATTCTCTTTCAGCCTGCCCCAGGTTCAGCATCCACTTCCAGCATCCATCCAGCTTAACAGTACTACCCAATTTAATGTTATCCACGCTCGGTATCTCGGCTCTCACGTGTCCAACACTGCGGACATCGATGAAGAGATTCAACATCGGATCAGATGTGCATCTCAAGCCTTTGGCGGACTCCGAAATCGTGTCCTCAGCTGTAGGGAGCTGAAATTATCCACAAAGCTGCAACTATGTCGAGCAGTGGTCCCGCCCACCCTACTATATGGCAGTGAGACATGGGTCACATACAGGAGGCACCTCAAGGCACATGAAAACTTTCACCAATGTAGTCTACGTTCCATCCTCCGTGTTCGCTGGAAAGACAAAAGAACAAATGCCAGTATTCTTGCTGACACCAACTGTAGGAGCATCAAGGCTACCATTATCCATGAACAACTACGTTGGACTGGCCATGTTACCCGCATGGACGACAGTAGACTGCCAAAGCAGCTACTTTTCAGTCACCTAATGAATAGTAAACGTAACGCTGGCGGGCAATTGAAAAGGTATAAGGATAGTCTTAAGACAAACCTGAAAAGGTGCCAAATCGACCCCCTCACCTGGGAGTCGATTACTCCACATCGTAACGCTTAGAGGAGCACTACACGAGGTGTCAATATTTTCGAATTCGCCCGACTGCAAACCGAAGCAGATAAGCGCCAACGTTGGAAAGACGCTGCCACCGCCCCTCGACAGTAGATGGAGCCTTCCACATGTGCAACGAATGTGGACGACACTGCCGGTCCCGTAAACCTCAACTCACAAACCTATTGATATCCCCAATAACCCATATCATTTTACCATAGCTGGATGATCGTCATACTCGATTCCGATTGACAGCAAAGAAGTCGTAGTAGTAGTACGGGGCAGGAGGTTGTTTTATTGTTACTAAATTATGATTTACCGTAATTAATAAAACAAAGGTAAACATTATACAGTACTTTAACTGGAACAAGAGTACGTGCGTCATCTAAGTTACAATACATACGTACGAAATCAATCAATTCCGTAACTGTCTATCAACACCCTACACACTTTTGAGGTCAATGAATAAATTCAATCATCTATTTATAACATCATGCACTAAAAAATTCGAATAATATGCACAATCAGTAAAACATCTTGAAGCGATATACTGCGTGGCTCAAGGAGGGAGAAACATCGGCCTTCGGTGGGAGAAGCTCGAAACAAAAATCGAAATATTACTTGAAGCTGGTGTGTATTTCATAGTTAACTCATGGATTATTTGTTTTTGTTAAGTGCTTCAACTGTTTTGGATAACTGCACTATGAGAAGTAGAGATAAATTTTGTTCAA